GCCCATAACACAAGTTCTGTTTCAGACGTGGTCACGTGCATAAGCCACCGTTGAACTGTCTCCTCCATTTGATATGGTATGGGAGTGGTGTGTACGAACAGCTTCAGGACTTGTATCCTGCAGCATGTTCTCTTGGCACTCATTTTTGTGTCATAGCAATGGATTTCGGACAGCGCTTTCGACGGAAGGCAACATTCGTACTCAAGACACTTGTCCATGAGGTTGGCGTTCAAGCCTTTCATCTGCTCTTGGCACTCTCTAGAAACCATCTCGGCTGATGGCTTTGGCATGAGGACCCTCAATGGCTTTGTTGTCCGGACCACGCTTGCCAAGCTTGCTGGCAACAAAGTGGAATTGACTGAAGTGACTGAAGCATCAAAACTCTGATTCTGTATCTTTTGTGCGTACTGCACTTGCCCGGAGCACGGTAAGGGCCATCAGCATGACAGGCACCATGGACAAGTCTTGGCACGTGGTCTTTCTTGTTTTGGACCACTGCTTCGCAAGCAACAAAACAGGCTTGATCTGAGATGTCACACCGGCCGGTGGCAGATGACATGTACTAACTTGGGTTGCCTGCCGGTGAATGGACTATGTATATTAGGTAAAAGATTAAAAATTTGAAAAGATCTCCCTGATTAGTCCTTTAAATCCAATCTTAATGAAAACGCTTAATAGCATATTATTAGAGATATCCTTTCAAATAATTAAAACTTCATTCATTTTAGAATATTAACGGGCACCTGTCGATTCCATCGATGACACACATCCGCCCACTCAGTATACAAAGACACAAATAGGGAGGGAAGCAGAGAGGACCGGGAGGATCCGGGAATTTGGAACTGCACGCGCCCGAAAGCCGATCAGGATAAGTTGCTAATGCTTTAGAACCCCACCACCTTTTTCAACATGCAGTAGACTGCTTACACATTCAGTTCACTTTTTCAACGCTTTCACATGGTCACACAAAGGGGGCATTCAGGTGCTACATCTTGCTCCATACGTGATCGTCGAGCGATGCGGCCGTCCGCCAGCATGGTATCTCTGAAGGTGCCTCAACTTCTACTGCTCCATGACACCGAATGGGCCATCAAAGTCACAAGTAGTCCCCTCTCTACGCAGTTTCTCTCAAAGGACGGCTTTCAACTGCCAAGGTGCCGAAGGAAACAAAGCCCTCATCATCAAACGCCACTTCTTCTAACAAGTCCTCGGCATCATCTGCATCACACCTCAGCTGCAAAGCTTGACAAAAGTTGGTACCGTCGACGCCTAGAGAATCAAGAAGCTTGCCGACGTGGCTTGGCATCCACCCGTCAGTTGTGGTAAATAGGCGAAGCTCGTCACCCCTGTGTGCAAAGGCGGAAGCTGTCATGCCCTGTCCGACAGCCAAACCTGGGGCCAACCTGGCTGCCCAGAGAGTACAACATTGCCACGTGCAGTCCCTCACAACCTTTGTTTTATGGTCCTACGACTCCATACAAAAATCAGCACCAAGTAGTTGCTTGGACTCATGGCGGAGATGTGTACAATTTGCCCATTGCAAGAGATGCGACACTTCTTGAACGCCAGAGGTTGAACATCTACCGCACCCCCGAAAGACCCTAGACCCATAAATGCAAACGCAAAGACCACAAGCTTTAAACATCTCTGCCCCAAACCCTCTTTCATCCCTCAATCAGAAGCTGCCATCATCCCCGTTTTTGTTCATGCCACAGGCTAAACCAGCATCTTTTTTCAGCCTGATCTTCAAAGGTCCGGCTTCACAGTAGATGAGACATTTGGAAAGTTTCCCTGTTTGGGAAGAGAAGGCTGACCCACACGTTGGCCAGCGGAGAACAAGTCCAGTGAACTGTTGCAGAGGTGTACAGCCAGCCTCGTCATTGAAACACTTTGCGGACACAGCCCGCGCGACCCCGGCGCATCCATAGAAACACGGCCGGGACCGTCGCCAACAGCGCCGAGGAAACTGAGAGGAACGTCACCCACGCTACTTTCTTGGAGATTCCCGAATGCGGAGGCGGCTTGCACTTGCGGATGTCACGCGCCAGCCAGCGCAGGGGGGCCTGCAAGGGCGGGAGGATATGGGAAGCTTCTCCAAACAGTCCAAAAATCAAGGACGTACAAACACCCCTGGTTCAAAGGATCACTGTCAGGGACATTTAGGGACTGTGAGGGTTTCATGATGCTTCAAAGCTTCGTGTCTCATTGTTATGGGAAAGAACAGCTAAGGAAAGCCCAAAATATGACAAAAACAAATCAAAGAAGACATATGACCAGGACATGGAGACGGCTGATCAAAAACGTCAAAAAACTGCTGCGTTACTTGGCCGAACCCCAGCCCCGAGCCTTCCGACCGTCGCTTCCGGTCGGGATGGATCGATGCCAAGTACTGTCGGTTCTCACGGCGCTCCGGGGACGTGGAAAGGGCAGTGGGTCGGGACCGGCGGCCAAAGGTCGTGGCCTGCTGCATCTGCTGCATGCCTTGGAACTCCTCTCAACATGCAGGGGAGATAGGGGCCCACCCGACTGGGTCTGCTTGAGAGCCGCTTCGTCGCCGTTGCCCAGCGCGTCGGTGGCCAGCAGCTCCGTCTCAACCACCAACTCGAAGCCCTGGCTCTCGGCGTCGAAGTCGTGCGACTGCTCACCTGAGCCGGAACTTAGAGTTTCTAGCGCGACTCTCCATCGAACCCGAGACTTGCGACTTGTGACTTATGAGTGCACCGGTTCTGCTGCAGGCTATGGCACAAGTATTCGGCGTCACGGCAAACTTTGAGCACGATGCAAAGTCCAGTTCCTTCTCCCTTCCAAAACAGCACGATTGCCCCATGGCTTCAGCGCTCACGTCTGTGCCTTTTTGCGATATCTTGATCCTGGGTCCTTCTCGGGTGCCCCCAGCTGTTGTGCCTACTGCGATGGTGTGGCGAACCCTCCACTCCACCCGAAAAATGTATAACGACCAGGCGCCCGGTCAGCCCTTGAGCAAAAGCAAACGCAGGAGCATGGGGACGCAGAGGCCGGGCACCTCCAAAATACCTCGCCAACACGAAACCTCAAACCCTCAACCTTCAGCCTGACCCCCACAGCCCTCCTTTGCGTTTTTTCGGGGGACTTCAAGAGAATTCTGGGTTCCTTCGGGTCATTTGGGGGACTTCTAAACCCTAAACCCTAAACCCTAAACCCTAAAAAGCTTGCACCCTCAAGGAAGTTAATTCCATCGCTAAGACTTCGCCATTTGGCTCTCCGAAACACAGTTTTCCGGTGTAGATCGCGCAAAACGTGCCCGCCACATGCCGTCACAAATCCAACTTCAAGACAGGAGCGTGTGCTAGTACCCGAACAGAAGAAACATCCCGAAAGGCGTACTGGACGAACCTTGTAAGCCCAAAGCCTCCAAAACGAACCTCGGCGAAGGGAGGCGAACTTCAACGAAGGAAAGAGAAGGGTTTAAGTAACGGTTTAAGAAGCTGTGCTTGCGGACCTTGATGTTCTAAACGTCCCGTCCCTCATCTCGCCCTTGACGTGCCCTGACCCCCCCAACAAGCACGAAGAGGAGAACCTTCGACGAGGGGGCGAAGGTTCCAAGGCCGGCTTAAACGAACTTTGTCCAAGTTTCACGTTGTGGTCGCCCTTCGCTGTTGTGGGGGAGCGGGGTGGGTTTATGCCTCACCGTGCAATGGGGGTGCGGAGTCATAATCCCCAATTTCTGCTGCAAGTCCCAACCCACTAGTCACCTTCATGTCAGTTTGGAGGGATGTCGATCCGACGTCACGCTGGTGCAAGCAGCTGGTGTTCAAAGGGCCTTTCCCTGGCTTGCCATACCGAGGACGATTGAGATGTGCGTTCACACATGGGCAAGTGCTGTGGTCTCGATGAACCGCCGCTCCAACACAGTGCCTAGGGATGCCTCCTCCGTACCGCAAGTTCGATGTCGCCCGCCGTAAATATTGAATCCCTGCAACCCTCAATAGTCCCAGCCGACTAGCGAACAACATGAACATCTAACTTGAGGGCATGCGGCATACTCAAGCACAGCAGGGCCTCAGATTCAAGAGGTCAGGACAGACACCATTGCAGCTAAGCTTCTCGACTGCACCGCTTGTCCTTACAGCAACATGTGACTCACCTTTTCAGCCACAGCCTGCGCCTTTTAAGCATCCGGATGCTCACAGATGCTCATCGCGGGTAGGCCGCCTACCATTGGTGGCTCGACTTTCTCTCAACGCAGACAGAGAACCCTGCGAACTTACTTGATCACACATCCTACCCAGTCGCCATGACATTCCGCTGCATGCCAGCCCCTGAACTGATCCACCAGGGTTCAGCAATTGTCGAACCTGATCTTTTGAAAGCTGCCCCTTGCCCTCTGTGTCCAGCTCCTGGAACAAGTCCTCTCAACGTGCAGAAAGGCGCGGAGCAGTGCCGGAAGCCCGAGATTAGCAGGCACCATATGAATGGGTACTGAGTTTGAAGTGTTGGCAGATACACAACGCAAGAAAGCATTCACGGCGCCTGAAGAAACTGCACAGTGTAGTGCTCTTTAACTTTGAGAACCTCCTTGGCCACGGACAGGTACTCAACCTGCATGGAGTCTAAGTGAAGGCCCTTGAACCGTCCAGGTACGGATCCCACATGTCTGCAAAAAATGTGGCCCCTTGCAACGTGCAGATGCAGCAGGAGAACCTGAGGGCCCAAGTAAGAAAATCAAAACGCATGCCTGCCACTGCCTTTCGCATACCTTCACAACCACCTAGACCTCAGCAATCGCTGGAACTGGTAGCTACAAGTACACACACACACACATCTCACATGCAATGGCCTCGCCAAATCCATCTGCCTCAGCATCGAGATGCAGCCCATGGTTCTTTTGCTTGCATGATCACCCAGCTGCCGATTGAAGATGCGTTTGCAGCGTACCTTCTCCCATGTGCAACCGCGCCACCGTCCGTTCGGCAAAGGCGTGCGCGCAGCCTGACATCGCTCTGAACAGTGGCCCGTGGCTTCTTACATCTTCTTACACTCACACTGCTTCAGCTCCTGCCTCAATCGGGGGCTTGAAAGACAAGAAGCCACCGAAGACTGCATTTTAGTGGATGACGACCACAATGACTTTATGGAGAGGGCTGGAAGCATCGAGTCTCGGAACTGTAGAAGGCATAAAGTGGAAAGCCTAACTCTGAAGCCCTGAACCGCCAAGGCGCCAGCGGCCCCTAGCTGTCAGATGGGCCTCTAAAGAACTTACAGCCTTCAAGCCTTTTTGTTGCGAAGAAAGCTCTGCTCCGGCGAATCTTTCGGCGCACATGCTGAGTTTCACGTCCTACCGTGGCAGCCCGGGTGTTTGGCTTTAACTGATGCACCCAACCTGCTTTCACGTTGTGTCTCGTGAGCTTTTTGAGCGCAAGCTCCTTGGGTACCTCAAGCTTCGACACACGCAGCTCTAACGTTCACACTTCCGGGTCACCCCATCACTTGGATCCTGCTGAAGAATCCCGAAAAAACGAACACCATTCCGCGGGACCGCGCTAATCCGGATTCAACGATTACCACTCAAAATGGGTGAGCAGTGGCCGAAAATTCAAAATCCCAAGGTGGTGCAAGGGCGGCAGCAAACAACGGCAGCATTCAATGGATTTAAGCTCGAAGTCTGACCAAAGCGACACATTTATCAGCCGAGGTCCGGGCTTTGCCCCGTTGGCCGCGGTCCATCTCCTGGAGCTCCGCATGCAAGCCTCGAAGCTCCTGCACTTCTCTTCGCTGGCTTCTGCAGTAGTTATTTCGACTCAAGTATCGCGGAACTTCCAGAACATGTTGTTGTGACACTGGAGGGGCAGAACGGAGCTTTCGGCAACCGCTGGCTCGGATCAGTCTCGTGTCATTGCATGGAGACGTGTGCGCTTCCTTCGGTGTGCCTATCCGAATGGTATAAGCGCTGTGTTTTCTGAGCATGCTTCACTACTGCCTTCGGTGAAAATAAGTGGCACCAAAAGATGCGTCAGGCCCTGTTCAGAACCGGACAGGACATGCCGAAAGTTTACTGTGATAGGAGAAACCAGTTACAAGCCTCTTAGCACATCTAAAACATACGAGAAGACACCAGCCTTCAAGTTGTTCTTGAAGGCCAGCTCATACACCACCTTGCTGCGGCATCGTCATCATGCACGACAAGTTGGCCATGAACATGCAGAGATGGGCGAGACAGAGGTGCCTGCAGTGACATGAATCATTGTGGACGTAACCGTGTTCTCACAAACTACCTTGTCTTCAGTTTAGCAGAACATAACTCATTGGGCAATTTTGGGAAGTCCTTGTTGGTTTAGCCAGAACCAGTCCGTGCAAAGCTGCCTGCTCACGCAAACTTTCGGCCGCAGAGCTTCCTCTCGCAAGGCTGAACAGCTAGATACAATCTGCGACAGTATGGATGCACAAAAAAGCAGCCAAACAACGCTTAGGTTCGTTCTTAGATTCGTGGACTGTGCCACCTTCTCGCCCTATACCGCCTTGAACCCACATACATGAAAAACCTCCGCCTAGGAGCAGCCTGCTGAGCGTCGCGGACGATTCTATGACGATGCAACACAGATGCACCATGGAGCCTAGAAGGGCTGCGATGGTCTCGGCAGGAAGGCTCTCATCACTTTCCGATGTAAACCTGGCAGGCAGCAAAAAAGATGGGCAGCTGCCCGGCTCCCCGTCAGCAACTTAGAGGGTCTTCAGTGTTCAGGAATAGGGTAGGGCTCATATGGGCCCATGGCATTTTAGCGTTCTCATGCTAGGCCCTTGCATGTGACAACCTTATGACTGGCGCGGCCTTGACTCTGCTCTACGCACGGTTGGCATCTTGGTACTTACATGACCAGGGAAAAGCAGAATCCATTCATCCAGACTTGTAATTAAGTGCTGTATGTAAAAAGTATACAGGAAAGTAGTAATGTTGGACCTGCTTTATTAGGGGGGGTCGCTTTAAAGTCAATTTGGCGGAATTATTCAGGACCCCCTCACTGTTTGAGGGGTCCGCTTTAAAGTCAAACCGTCCGGGCGCCGCAAGAAAGTTCCACGCGGCGCGCCTTTAAAAAAGATAACCGGGCATTGCTGCCCCTTTTAAACATATCTAAACTCCACCCTATGAAAATCATATAAGCCCCCGGGGCCGTGTAATCAGGACCCAATCCACGCCGCGACTGTTCAGGGGGGGGGGGGGGGGCCCCCACATTAAAGCAGGTCCCACATTATAGATCGTATCTGTATCAAAAAACACTTTAGGTCTACGTATTCATCGGGCCGCAGAACTCTGAGGTCCGTGCCAAGCGTGCTTCATGACAGCTGTTGCGCTGGGTCTTTGAGTCATGTCCCTGGCATCCCGACGTCATCTCAAACCCCGACAGCACGTCACAATGAATGACCCTCTCTCTCTCGCAGGCGCTCGAAGCGTCAGGCCTGCTGAAGGGCAGCACTCGTGGCTACTCGTGAAACTCAAAGACCCTAAGCCCCTAAACTCGATACAACCATCCTGTTCACTGTGTCTATCATAGCCAACATCCTTCATGAACCGACCCATCGTGAGGCGCCTATGCACCATGCAAGCCAAGAGCTGCTGCAGCTCCGGCATGCGTCGGGGGAGTCGATTCCAAGGAAGCTGCAAAGCCTGCAGTCTCAGGGAGAAGAATTAGAACCCACCTGTATTCAGAAGTGCCCAAAATGGGCCCTGTTGCCGCTCGTCTACTATCGCCTACTCCCTTTCGTGTTGCGATTCTTGGACTGTTGGGAGCATTCTGCTCTTCCATCTGCAGGCTCAGCATGTGTGGCATCCTTCAGCCAGGTGGCTAGTCCAGCAGCCTTGTCCTCAAAGCAGCAACTTCGTGGCATCTAGATGGTTGCAGTCATCTGTCTTAATACTGAAAGCCATTGATAGCTCACGCCGAGGAATTGTGGCGCCTCCTCTCGTTCACCTTCCGTTTGAAGGATGCCCAAAACGTCGCCATTGGGCACCTGAAGCAGCTAGGGGCCACAAGTTTAAGCTGGCCCAGCCCAGCCCTAGAGTGTGTAAGTTTCTTCAGCATGTCAATGTCATGGTCATGAACTGTCTGTGGAAACGGCTCAAGGCTACTGGTGCGGGGAACATGATAGGCTACTTTAAACGGCTAGCTAGATGTGTGCTCATGCTTACACTGCCTGAGACCGTATTTTTCAGAAACTGGCCCAGCCACGTACTGTACTGCGCCTCCCTTTGCCCACTTCTGCAACATTTAGCGCCATGCACGAAGGTCAACAGTTCTTCGCTTATGTCCAACAGCTTTTTTTGCCAGCCTGGCCGATCATGATCTGGAAGATGGTGATACCCATACTGAAAATGTCACCACCTGGCGAATTCAGACTTCGGATTCGGGTGCTACCATGGCAAATGCATGTTGCAGTTGAGGGGCATTCCTAGCACTTCCGTTCGGAGACATCAAGTGCCATCGTTGGGGACGGGGGGGGGTGTGGAGAAGACGCATGTCTTTTGTCTAGCTATTTACACCTGCACTTGCGAGTTGAGTTAGACGACACATCTAGATGATATCAGTCATACTTTTGCAGACGGTTTTGGCGCTTTTGTAAACTTGGTGTGCTGTCGCCGCCCGAGCACGAAGAAATGCAGATTTTTTGCGCCCTACAGCCTTGATCCCAGCTTGGTATGCCCTCGGTACACCCTGTCACAAACGCGAGAGACTTGGGCCATCTCTCTCACCTCGTGGACGCGCACCACGTCCGCCTCACCCGCAATGGCGATGGCCGTGACAGCAGCATTGCCGAAGGTGCGCTTCTTGGCGTCAGGCTCATCTAGGATGGTCCCCAGGAAGCGCTTCCGGGACGCACCAATAAGGACGGGTGAGGGCTGCACATGTGCCACTAAGCGCGTACATTCTTGGAGCAAAGAAAGGTTATGCTCCAAATTCTTGGCAAAGCCGATGCCAGGATCTAGGATGATGTTCCAGCTTGGTACTCCTGCGGCTTCAGCTGCCTTACGACGTTCTACAAGATGGTCGGTGACCTCTGTAATGACATCTGAGTAGGAGGCCAGTGTGTTCATAGTGGCTGGCGTGCCTTTCATGTGCATAAGGACAATGGGTGCCAGGAGGTCTGCAGCCACGGTGAACATCTCAGAATCGAACTCTCCGGCAGAAACGTCGTTTATCCAATCGGCGCCTGCCTCTATGGCGGCTTTGGCCACCGGAGCCTTGCGCCTTACATATGAATCCTAGATGAAACGAAATGCAAATCTCAAGCCTAAGCCAGCCTAAGACCTGTGCCTCATCTCATAGTCTTAACAGGCAGACTGCCCACATCAACATAAAGAACATGCGAACCACGGCACGTGTCAATGCTGATGGTTGTCTCCAGGCCTGCTTTTCGAATGCCTTGGCCATGGTGGAGCTGCACATGTTACTCTTCAAAGCTACCGCAGCCTTGCTGCAACACCAAGCAGAAGTGCAACATGTCACCAACCGATCCGAGCAACCTGCAATCACTGGCACTACACGTCGAATCTCATCCTCCACCGAGACTTCGGCCGCCCCAGGACGAGTGGACTCACCTCCGATGTCTAGGATGTGTGCTCCTGCTGTGACCATGTCGGTGGCAGAGCGAACAGCATCCTCGGGGTCCAGGTGATCTCCGCCATCGCTAAAAGAGTCGGGTGTGATGTTGAGTATTCCCATTATCAGCGTTTGCTCACCACGCCGCCACAATTGACCCTCCCTCATGCCGCTCAGCCCACCTGCACCCGGTAGCATCTGCACCGGCCATGCATCCAAGCTGGCACCCTCAGGGGATGTTCCAGACCCAGACTTCAGGCGCTCCAGCATGTCAGCTACGCTTGGCTCACCAGCAAGGCTAGGGTGACGCCAGCCCGGGCATAGGTCGCTGAAAGGAACGAGGACGAAGTCTCGTTCATGCATGAGGGCATGGGGAACCTGCAATGGGTACCTGCCCTCTTGGATGTTGAGGCTCTGACGGCCAACTGCTATGATGTCCAAGTCGATAACACGAGGGCCTCGTCGAATCCCAGGTGTTCGGCCCAGCTCATCCTCAATATTTTTCAAGTCTGACAGAAGGCCCGAGATGTTGGAGAGCCTGGTCTCGGACAACTCCAGCTCTACAACGGCATTCAGGAAGGCGGCTTGGTCACTTACGTACTGCGCCTTCGTGGAATACAAGCTCGATGTTCTTCGCAGGCGCAAGTCGCTGAGCCCTTTCAGCGCGCGCACTGCTCGGCTTAGGTGCCGAAGACGGTCGTCCATGTTGCTTCCCAAGGCCACGTAGCAAAAGCGTCTGTAGTCCTCATCGCTCTGTGAAGCCATCGCAAGCCAAAATCGGTACAAAAGAAGAGGTGAAAGCCTGACAGGGTTGGCTCGAGCCAGTTTACCCACATGAGCAGACAAGTCTTGCGAATGGCCAAAGCATGCTGAGCTGAGCCCAACAAAAAACCGCGACATGATGCGACATGGCTGAAGCCGCTGGGTGCCCCAACGCGGATACCACCAGGACGTTGTCCACGTCTCTGGGGGTATGTAGCCTGACTCCATGCAGCATGAAGTCGCCATCAGAAGCCATGGCTACCTGGCCCGGCCTGGCGTCCCTGCACAACCACCTGGTGTGGAGGAAAATGCCGCTGCAAGACCGAAGTCGATCAGCACGATGCGTGGGAACTGTCAGGGCCAGTTTTCGCTGAAAGATGCTGAAGGCATCTTTTCTGTCGTGGTTACTTCACGGCTGCTTGCGACTTGTGTCCTACAAAAGTCCTACAAACAACTGATGATTAGGGGGTCCTACGTTGAGCTTGAAGCTTCATTCGTGTGCCCCCAAATTCTTCAGGGTTGATGCTTGCGCGCAGCCTGCACGGCAGCACATTACATGGAAAGCAAGCAAGGGGTCCTCTAGATCAGATGCCATCACCATGATGTTCTCCTCCTTCAGGATCGAAACCGCAAGCCGGTTTGTTTGAAGTGCCATGCTCTTGTTTGGATGTACATTTCCTGGATCGATCGGAAACCCGGCACGCTCATGTCAACGCTGACAAACCATGCACTCCAAACATGGCCGCTGCTAGCAATTCGAAGCTCGTCAGCCATTGGCTAGGCGTCACGTGCGTCTCGTGGATGTTCGCGTGCTTTCTATCTTTGAATCCGTACCAGCCAGGTGGTCTCGGGTCCCTAGAAAGGCGAGGGGAAGGCCAGCCTGCCTCGGGTTCGGGAGGCATCTGCAGGAATTCATAAAAACTTCTTTCCGTCGTCACTACATTTGAACCCGTTACCATAATTCCATGTGTTCATCACAGCTATTTTGGGGCTTAGTTTGCTACGTCGTGCAGCTGTCGCTGGAACTCAAAAAACAAACTGGCTTTCGGGTCGGGCCAGGTGTCGACTTGGCCGGGACAGGAGCCTGCAAGCCTTTTGAGCAACGTCCGGCACCAAAATTCCAGGGGGCAGGCCCACACTCAACACCTCAGGCACCTGCCATATGCTGCCGCGTGGGTTCTGCCCTGGTTGCACCCTACACTCGGCTGTTCAGCAGGCCCAGGCACCTTCTCTCATGCGATCCCTTTCAAAAGGCCCCCCCCCCCCCCACAGCAGGCAGGCGTCCTTGATGTCGCAGTGCATTACAGCCTGGCTGTGGAGAAACTCGAGACCTGATCAGGCACACTTCAAGCACACGGGGCCCAAGACGGCAAAGCTGAGAAACTGCTGCCGCTCGACATGATCTTCCATACCAGTGACTGTGTATGTTCAACGGCGACGAAGCCAAGCGAGAAATAGTTGCTCGTGGGAGGCGGGATTTGTACTGGGAGACAAGGACTGTGCTTGGTGTCTCTGATGGTGCGGGTGAGGTGAGCCTATGCCGACATTCGGCCCTTGATCCAAGTTCGGTCATTGAAAGTTACTTGAGACCGTTACGCAGCATCATGGACCTTCAGGCTCGCAGATACATGCATAACTGTTTCACGGGCCGCTGCTCGTGATGTTGCCCAGGCCTTGCAAGCACTGCCGAAAAATGTCCCTGTACCAGTTTTCACCTCAGACTCACTCACAGTCAGCGGGCAAGTTCAGGCGCCGCAGTTCTGGACATCTTGTTGCACGTACCTGGAAAGTCTACCGACCCACTCGTCTAGATTTGAACAAGGCTTTCGTCAGTGTGGTTTCCATCAATGCAAGCTTCTGAGTTGTTCGGCTGCTGGAAAATCATGAAGCTGAGGAACAGCAGTTGAGGCCAATGGCGGACATACTATGAGGCAGCATTAGAATAACAGCTTCGTTTTGGCACGCTCAAATCCTCGCACATTCTGCAAACTTCTACAACATCTCGTCTCGGTCGGGCCCAGGTCGGTCCGTTCCATTTGCAGCTGAAGGGCTCATCCAAATGCCCTGGTCATGGGCCCGCTTTGCCAGCTTTGTTAAGTCGCCGCCGAAATAGGGCTCCTAGGCAGGCGACCGGCAGAGCATTTTCCAGACGAGGGAAAGGCTTGCTGGGAATCATGAATCAGCCGCAGGCGCACGGCCCGCAAAAGATTACAGCCAACACGCGTTCTCCGCAGACGGAAGCCCCAGAGCAACTCAACGGCAGACCATGCCAGACCATCTTCCACAGCTCTTCCATCCCTGAATACAAGCAGGTTACACGTACAACCATTCCTGCATATCGATACCCCGCAACTCCGAAAATTCCTACATATCGATACCCCGCAACTCTGAAAATTGCCCTTAAGACAAGGACATAAGCCAAGGGCCCCACCCAGCAGTGAAGGCTTCTCAGGGATGGGTTTGAATGAACCTACGCTCCATGACTTTTGTGACCTTACATTTCTCCACTGAGAGTATGATCTCCCAACCCCCACGCGCGAATGTAATTTGACCAAAGCTCATTCACCAGGTAGAAGAACTTGCTGTCTTGGAACACCTGCAAAGCATAGAGTCTAGTGCCTCGCGGCTGGCTGGCTGGCTGGCTGGAGAAAGAGATACATGTGTATACATATAGATGTGTGTATGTAAATGTAAATGTAAATGTATATGTATATGTATTTGTCCGAGGTACTTAGCGAAGGCCTAGACCCAAGACCCAGCTCTTGCCTGGGTCCGATCGAGGCCATGCTTTAAGCGTTTGCTTGTTGGCCAAATATTTTTCACACCCGCATGCCGAGGGGCATTATAGACCACGAATGAGGAGGCTTCGGCCCCAGGGGCAAAGGGGCCCCCTAGACTCCGCCAGCTTGAGGGGTTTCACGGAAAGATAAAGGCATTGAACGTCGGACTTTGACTGCCAGAAGGGTCCTTTGAAGGACCATCCATGTACAACATAGCGACCACGGCCATCGGCCTCTGTTTTGAATAACAAACAAATACAACAATGTGTCATTGCATACATACATATATATATATTTTTATTTATATGTGTGCATGTGTACATATATCTACACTTAGTAGCAGCGAGATTGAATACCTGGACACTTAAATGCTATATATACATATATATATACATCTGTGTGTGTTTATCTTTATGTATATGTGTATATGTATACACACACGCATATATATATATATGTACGAGGGACCTCTGTGTACTATGTGAACGCTTTCTCTTTTTCAACCGTTTTAACCATTTCAGTCACTTCAACCAATTGCTTCAAATGGTTGAAACCGTTGAAACGGTTGAAATGGTTGAAAAAGAGAAGTTTTCAACCGTTTCAACCATTTCAACCATTTCAAAAATGGTTGAAACGGTTGAAATGGTTGAAACAGAGAGGTTTTCAACCGTTTCAACCATTTCAACCAATTGTTGAAACGGTTGAAAAAGAGAGGTTTTCAACCATTCCAACCATTTCAACCGTTTCAACCAATTGGTTGAAATGGTTGAAACGGTTGAAATGGTTGAAAAAGAGAGGTTTTCAACCATTTCAACCGTTTCAACCATTTCAAAAATGGTTGAAACGGTTGAAACGGTTGAAAAAGAGAGATTTTCAACCATTTCAACCGTTTCAACCATTTCAAAAATGGTTGAAACGGTTGAAATGGTTGAAACAGAGAGGTTTTTAACCATTTCAACCATTTCAACCGTTTCAACCGTTTCAACCAATTGGTTGAAGTGGTTGAAACGGTTGAAATGGTTGAAAAAGAGAGGGTTTCAACCATTTCAACCGTTTCAACCATTTCAAAAATGGTTGAAACGGTTGAAATGGTTGAAAAAGAGAGGTTTTCAACCATTTCAACCGTTTCAACCATTTCAACCAATTGGTTGAAATGGTTGAAACGGTTGAAACGGTTGAAAAAGAGAGGTTTTCAACCATTTCAACCATTTCAACCGTTTCAACCGTTTCAACCGTTTCAACCAATTGGTTGAAATGGTTGAAATGGTTGAAACGGTTGAAACGGTTGAAAAAGAGAGGGTTTCAACCATTTCAACCGTTTCAACCATTTCAAAAATGGTTGAAACGGTTGAAATGGTTGAAGAAGAGGTTTTCAACCATTTCAACCATTTCAACCGTTTCAACCGTTTCAACCAATTGGTTGAAATGGTTGAAACGGTTAAAACGGTTGAAAAAGAGAGGTTTTCAACCATTTCAACCGTTTCAACCATTTCAAAAATGGTTGAAACGGTTGAAATGGTTGAAAAAGGGAGGTTTTCAACCATTTCAACCGTTTCAACCGTTTCAACCAATTGGTTGAAATGGTTGAAACGGTTGAAATGGTTGAAAAAGGAAGGATTTCAACCGTTTCAACCAATTCAAAAATGGTTGAAACGGTTGAAATGGTTGAAACAGAGAGGTTTTCAACCGTTTCAACCATTTCAACCATTTCAACCATTTCAAAAATGGTTGAAACGGTTGAAAAAGAGAGGTTTTCAACCATTTCAACCGTTTCAACCATTTCAACCAATTGGTTGAAATGGTTGAAATGGTTGAAAAAGAGAGGTTTTCAACCATTTCAACCGTTTCAACCATTTCAAAAATGGTTGAAACGGTTGAAACGGTTGAAACGGTTGAAAAAAAGGAGGTTTTCAACCATTTCAACCGTTTCAACCGTTTCAACCATTTCAACCGTTTCAACCGTTTCAACCATTTCAAAAATGGCTGAAACGGTTGAAATGGTTGAAAAAGAGAGGTTTTCAACCCTCTGGACACGCGCAAATGCTGCTATTTACAGTATTTGCAGCCTGTGGCAACGCAGAAATGCCGCTATTCACAGTATTTGCAGACTTTGGCAACGCAGAAATGCTGTGATTGACAGTATTTCCGCCTCTGCAAACGCAGAAATTTTTCAATTTGCAGCACTCGCAGCTGAACCAAGAACCAAGGCCGAGCCACACCTTTGCAAGGGAAACATGGCCGAGCGCTTTGCAACAAAAACCTCCGAACACATTTCTCGCACGATAGGTTTTTAAAAATGTATGCGCTCCGGAACCG